TTTTGGGAAAAAATTATTTTTTGGTTTTTTAAAAAACCTTTTTTTTTAAAAAAAAAAAAAAAAAAAAAAAAAAAAAAAAAAAAAAAAAAAAAGTTTTTTTTTCAGTGATTACGTTTCAATCAAATTTTCAAAACAAACAAGATGGCGGAATACGTGTAACGTTTTTCATGTGTAAAATTTTAACTTATCTCTTTTGCTCATTATTATTAAAAAAAAAAAAAAAGTTTTCTTATTGAGTTTAATTTAATTATATTTTATGCTTCGATGAGGGATACTTTAAAGGTATTTAAATAAGTATAATTTTTTTTCTTTATTTATTTCATTTTTAAAAAGATTGACTGCTGTTTTTTTTTTGTGATTTTGACAATCATCAATGTGATTTCTAAACGGAATAAAATAACGGTCTCACTTTTATCTATTTTCATATTATTTAATTCAGTTATACATTTAAAATATGATTTCAAATTCTATCAATAAAATTTTTCAAAAAATTCAACAACTAAAAATATTTTTTAAAAAAACCCCTGAGGAATTAGCTGAGTATTTTTTTTTTTTTTTTTGATTTTGATGAAATGTAATCACTTAAAAATTAAATTAAATTTATTTATAATTGAAACTTTTGTATATTTGTATAAATTAAATGATTATAATTTACTAAAAATAAAGGATTTTAAATAATAATTTTTTTTATTTTTATTTTTGTCGAATAGAAAAGTATAATTGTCAGTTTTGTTCTAAACTCAACTTGAACATAATCAATTTAGCAATTTTAACTTTATTATTAAAATTTTTAAATTTATTTTTTCTTTTTCAAAATAATTCATGAAGAATAAAATAAAAAAAACTTACAAAATTTTTTTTAAAATGTTATCGTACTCAACACAATGAAAACCACATTATTTGTCTCGGTAAGATTTAGTTTTTATTTAAGGGCTGAAGGTATTTTTTTTCTTAAAGTAAAATTTTATGGAAACTTCTTTTATCAAATATTTTATTCTCAATCAAAATCATTTAAGAAATTTGATAGAAACAATTAAATAATTCTTATGTAATATGTATTATTCCATCCGATTCTAATGTTTTTTTTTTTTTTTTTTTTCTCTTCGACAAATGTAAATGTTTGACATTTTAAAAAAGTATTTATAAAGCAGAAGCTCCAGATATAATTTCAATCAATTCTCTTGTAATAACAGCTTGTCTTGTTCTATTAAAGGTTAATGTAAGTTTGTCAATCATTTCACCAGCATTTTTACTTGCATTGTCCATAGCTGTCATTCTAGAGGACTGTTCACTAAAAAAAAAAAACATATAACAAATTTTTAATGTTAATTCACTATGTAAATTGATAAGATATAATACTTGATCATTATTACTTATGAAAATCAGGGTACACCAGGTATTTCCAGCTTTCATTGTAAGGAAGAAAGGTTTAAGAACAGGTTTGACTTGAGATAGGATTAAGTTCAATCAGGTTTTAATCTGGAATAGAGAAATTGTGAAAACAAGGAAAAATTTGAATTTAAATATCATATAAGTAATACACTTACCTGCAAGCTCCTTCTTTCATTGCATAAAAAAGCATGCTGGCAACTGAAAATTCGATATAACTTTGAAGAACTTCATCATCGAGTGAATCATATAAACTCAATTTTGGAGCTGTATTAACAGTTTCTAACTTGTATAGGGGCATTTCTGATGTTGCATATGACACAACACTCTTAAATCGATTATAAATAATTTTTCCCATATTAAAAACATAATCACTTTTTAATATTTCATTAGCAACTTTTGATGCATCGAGAAATGTAGGGGGTAAACGCCCAACCTGAAATTATTATTTTTTTTCTTTTAAAATTTATTTATTTAGTTTTTTTTAAAACTCAATAAAAAAATATTTAAATTTTTATAACCTCATTTGCTGCAAACAAAATATTTTTCCCATACAATCTTTGAAGAATACCTCTTGATTTGTCTCCTATACAGACAACTTTAACTTTATCCCCATGTTCATTTAACTCATTTCTTATGGTACGAGCAACAGTTGTGTGAACAGCACCACACAAGCCTATAATAAAATAGAATTATTAAAATTTTAAAAAGATTTTAAAAATTCTTTACTTTTTTTTATTTAAGCATAAAATTACCTCTGTCTGATGTTACAGCTACAAAAAGTTTATGTGCATCTGCTGATGCTTCAGCACCAACTTCAGCACATTCATAAAATTTTTTTGTTCCCTCTCCAAGAGGCCTGGTTGCTTTTAGCTCTCTTTCTGCTCTGGCATATTTAGCAGCAGACACCTAACATTCATATATAATTGCAGTTACTTTTTAATAATTACAAATATTAATTTATTACTTATATTGTAACCAAAATTACCATTTTCATTGATTGAGTGATTTTCTGAATATTTTTAACTGATTTAAGACGTATGGATATAGCTTTAAGCGTTGCCATTCCTCGAGCATTTTGATTCTGCTGTTGAGCAATTTTAATGGTAAGGCCGCAGGAACGACCCAATGCTGGTACCGACATCATAATTTTTTAGTCGGTTTCTGAAATATAATTACAATATGTTTTACTATATTCTCATAAAATTTTATTAAAATATTTCATTTTATACAGGTTGAAAAAATAGTTAAAAGTTTTTGAAAAATGAAAAAACACAATTTGAATTCACCTTGAATGATAAGTTAAATTTTTGTAATGAATAGTGAACTTAATCAATGAATACAATGTCTGCTGGTGAAAAAAAATTTACAATTCTGGTCACGTGATCAAAAGCGCCCTTTTTTAAAAGGTGTTTTATTTAAAATATTTTTAAAAATCTTATTTAATTCCATAAATATAGTGATACATAATTTCAAAAAAATTATATAAAAGTGTATGAAAATTATTTTTAATTAATTTAGAAAATTTAATAATTAAAAAAAAAGAAATTGTTTTTATTAAAAAAACTTTTTGTTTCAAATGACTAAAAAAAGTTTTTTCAGGGCCCTTTAAATCTTTACTTTTTCCTTATAGAAATTAATTTTGCAGTTTAACATAAGATTATTTTTTTGTAATTATATTTGTTTTATTGTATTGATAACAGTTTTCATATAATGGCATAATAAACTTTTACAAATGTTTTTATTTTCTTTATTTTAAATACTTATATCGAAAAATGACACTTTTATTGCTTAGTGAGAAATAATTAAACAATTAGATTAAGATTTGCGGTATGTATTTAATTTACATTGTATTACTTCATATATATTTATAAAATTTTTTCAAATAATTCTATAAAAAAATTTTTTTTCTTACTTTTATATGATATTTATTTTTTTAATATTGAATAAAACTATTATTTCGTTTTAGATGTCTAATGTTTCCAGTCCAACTGGGTTTTCTGGTTTAGAAGACCGATTTTATGATCATATAGATATAAACGAAAAAATGCGAGTTCCAAACGATCAAGTATCTGGGGATCTGATAGTTCGATCACCGACAAAAATCAATCCATGGGAAGATGAAAATTTGACATGAAAGTCTGACAGAATATGTCGTGGGACAGATCAATATATGGGACAATTGCTCCACCAAGAGAGGTGTATTAGAAAATACAGTAATGCCACGTGATCCAGGAATGGTATAGTGTAAATTTTTAATAGCATAAAAGTATTTTTAATGCATACACTTTTCTATTAAATAAAATTTCATTTTAACATTCTAAAATTAAATTATTGCATTATGTTGTATTTAAATATTGCTTTATTAAATTATGATTTTTATAATTTCAACAGAATAAATAAAAATATAAATTTATATCTTCAGATCAGAGTGCAGACACCTCCTAGAGTAATTACTTTAAACGACCATTATTTTCCTACTGTCGAAGATGATGATGATTTATTCGATAGAGACTCTGGTCCGACATCGGAAAAAAGTAATAGTAGTGCTCAGCTAAGTCATAGTAAAATTATCGTGCCCATGAATCAATGGTAAGTTTTTATAAATTTCATAAACTTAAAAAATTTCTTCTTATTTATTTCTTTAACTTAAAGTTTTTCTTATTTATTAGTAAAAAAAAAAAAAAAGAAAACATTTTCTTTTAAATAACCTAAAAATATTTGTTTTAATTAACAAATTAATTTATTTTCATATTTAAAAATTAACTTAACCACTTAATTGTTTTATTCAATTTAAATAAAACTTTTACTTAAAATAAAAAATTTTCAAAAGGTCTTCAACTGCTGCTGTTAATGAATCTGGAGGGAATTCTCATAAAGGTCTTCTTCCTGGGGAAGAATTATCACATTTGAGAAGCCAAATGGCAAAATTAAATAGAAGGCTTATGGCTTTAGAATTAGACAATTTGCAAAGACAGCAAAGAGAAAAATATTTATTAGCATTAGGATTGGGGTATTTCCTTGTTAAATTTGTTATATGGCTAAATAAGTAAACTTAATTATTTAATATTTTTTTAATTTTCAGTTTTCTTTAAGTTGGCAATAAATTAGTTTTTATTATTTATTAACTTTATTATTTTCATAAAAAAAATTGTAACACGTTATATTTTTAAGGAGCCATATTAGTCAATATAATTAACTTAGAAAATTACATATAAATATACTTAAAAAGAATGCCATTAAATTGTTTTTCGTTACATTAAATAGAAATTTTCAAATGCATGTACATAACCTTTAATTTGTGTGTTATGAATCGTTAAAAAGACTAAATTATCAATTTTCTCAAAAGCTATATTGAGATCAAATAATTACACAAAAAAGAAAAAACAAATTTTATTAACCTTTAAAATTTGTTGCAGTTGTATTTATATCGAAATTTATTTTTTAGTTCTTTAATAATCAATAAATTTTGTGAATAATATTTAATTTTTATCTGTTTAGTTAATTTTTATTTCAAATATAATTTTTTCAAAAAAGAAAAAAATTTATTAGTTTTGCAAATTGAAATTATGAAGCCATTTTGTTTTTTTTTTAATTAAACTTAAATAATAGTTGTCTAATTAAAAGAATTCGGTATGCATATAAAAAAAATATAGATATATGTATGGTTATATATTTATATTTAATTTTATTATTAAATTAACAAAAGTTAGTATTTGGAATTTGATCTTCTAAATCTCTGCATTGAGCGTGTTGCAATTCTCTCCGAACTTCAGGTGTTATCCTCTCATGTGATTGATATCGAAGTAAAGAAAGTAATGCTTCTCTCTGTTCTGTACTGATATCTGCCTTATATCTAAAAATTATTAATTATTAAAAACCAAGTTGTCAAAGAAGCAATGAATTAAAAATGTAGTAATTTACAAATACTAAATTTACCTTTGAACAAATGTTAGTAGACTTTGGTGCCATAACGTAGGCAATTCTCTTTTATCCCTTTGAAATCTGAAAAAAAAAAAAAAAAATCTACGTTCTAAAAATGCTGTGTGATTGCATTTTACAAATAAAACCTTAAAATGTACTAAAATTCAAATAAAACTTAAAATATAGGTAGAAATAAATTTTAAAATCGAACCTTAAAAAATGTGCTACCACTGCATCAACTACCCTATAGGGCAAAGCATATTTTTTATCGAAAAAAATCCTAAGAAATATACTATTTGCACCAGTATAATCCATTTCAGCAATGAGAAGCATTGCACTAGCAGAATGAAGAACAGGTATTGAATTTTTAGCAATTATAGATCCCAGTATGATTGCTTCACGCAAAGTGCAAGTACCACTCTGAAAACGAAAAAAAAATAATAATTAAAGTTCCTGTTAGTCATTTAAAAAGCTCTAATGTTTAAATTACCTGACATAATGGTAAAATTATTCCTTTCATAAAAGCAGCAGGTTTAAATAAGGCTTTGCGAAGAGCTTGATATAAATGAAAATTTAATCTTTTGTATTCTGCTATATCATCCCTAATTCTAGGATACAAAACCAAATTGTAAAACCTAAAAAACCAATTTAATTTAAATTTAAAAAAAAAATGAAAAAAAAATAATAATAATTGTAAATTAAATGATTATTAACCTTTGAGCCATTTTTTCATTTAAATTACTAGCAAATATTCTTGTTGCTTGACACATAGCAGCTGCTGTCCATTTATCAGGTTCTGTTATATATAATATTTCTTCCCAATTTCTTAAATGAGGAATCATTTTAAAAGCTTTCGGTAATTTACCACTTCTATATTTCGACAATACATCTTTAACACCTTTGTACAATTCCTAAAATAAAAATTTTTCAAATACAAAAGAGGAGAATGTTGAAATCACATTATATTGTTGTTTATAATGAATTGTCAGAATAAATTATTATTATATATTCACTAGAGTAAATTTTTATGAAACTTAATTACTCTTATCGTACCTTAACTTTAGGATTAATTTCAGATAATGATTGAACTGATTCTAAATCAGAAAATTGAGTCTTTATTTCTGTTTTTTTCTCAGTGAGTTTTTCTGTGATGATATCAGCTAATGTTTTCCTAGGCTCTGGGTTTTTATTCATAAATTTTTCCAAAGCTTTCTCATCTTCTTCGTTAATTTCCTGAAATTTTTCATGATCCAAATTTCTTGAATTCTCATTTTTATAATTTAATATTCAACCATATAAACTCTTGTAAATAGTGTTACAAACAAACATGCACTTCTATTGGTAATAAATCGGAACAAAGTTTACTCACATAATCTACAGTAAAATCCTCGTCATATTCTTTTTCATCATTGTCCGATTCCTCAGAATCGTTACTTAATTTGATTGTTTTGGGTTTTAAATGACTACTAAATCCATCTTCTTCACATTCCACTTCATTCTGTTGTAATCTAGCTTGATTGATAATTTTTTTCGAAAGTTGAGAATCAATGAACTATAAAATAAAATTGTTAACTTCCAATTTTACGTACCATAACATAACCAAATAAATAATAATACATATTAAGAAACACAAACCGTATCATCTTCATCTCTCCGTCTCTTTACTTTAACCCTTCCAGTTTGCTTAGCGTTATTATCATTTTCAATTTGATCAGCTAAGGCAATATTTTTATTTTTTTTTAGTACTTTTAACTTTTTTGCTCTTCCCATTTTTTAAAAATTATTTACTGTAAAATTTTTCACGTGGTAGATATTTTTTGACGTGTCATTAGCTATTCTCATGAAATAGTACATCCGCTTTGTAAGTTCCTTACTAGTGATTTGTGTTGAGTGCTTGTTCTCGACATCGAGCTAAGGCCTTTTGGCGACTTGCACATTTTATTATTATTTATAAGTAACAAAATACAAAAATATAATGAGTACTAAAGCAGAATTGGCATGCACTTATGCTGCTCTTATTTTGGCAGACGATGATGTTGGAGTAACCGTGAGTAGTAATTGACCATGTGGTACTTGTAAAACCACGTTTTGTATTACATTATGTATTTGACTATATTTTCAGGGAGAAAAAATTCAAACAATTTTAAAAGCAGCCAATGTTGATATTGAACCATACTGGCCAGGCTTGTTTGCCAAGGCGTTAGAGGGTGTATCAATTAAAGACTTAATTACAAATGTTGGAGCTAGTGCAGGAGCTGCTCCAGCCGCTGCTGGAGTCGCAGCTGCAGAAGCACCAGCTGCTGCTGCTGCAGGTGGAGGTGGTAAAGGAGGAGACAAAAAAGAAGAGAAAAAGAAAGAATCTGAGCCTGAATCAGATGATGATATGGGATTCGGTAAGAATTCGTTTTTAATTTTTTTAAACTCAATATGCCTCAGATATTCTAACAAATTTTATTTTTTATTTTTTTTAGGATTGTTTGATTAGATGACTTATTTTTATATTTTTGTTAAAATGAAGTGAAACATGTATTTATGTTACTGACAATATAAGTATTACATGTGAATCTTAAATAATTTGTCAATCACCTTATATGCTTTTTCGGATCATTCCTGTTATTGGAAATAAGTGTTTTTACGCTTTTATTTTAAATTTTAAATATGTTAAATATGAATAATTTTTCAATTTTGTTTAATTACTTTAATTCACAATTTTCATGAAAATAATTTAATTTTATCTGTGGCATATTGCAACTTATTCTTAAAATCATAAGACAGATATTTTAAAAAATTACTTGCCAATTACTTTAATTTTATTAATTATTATTACTATCATGTTAAAGTTCACTAATTTTTATTTTTCACTAAATCTAGTAAAGTTAATTTTTTAAAATCGTAATGTAGAAAATATCTTAATTTAAAAAATGGCTGGTTTTAAAGATGTAACTTTTTGAGTTAAAGATTTTAAAAATTAAATCAATGTATTATTATTAACCAGAAATTTATAAAAAAGGATTTAGATAAAAATTAGGATTTATAAAAAATTCTAATAAAATACTTTGAATTAAAAAAATTTATTAATATACAATTATTGAACAAATTTTTATAATTAAAGAGGTACATTTACATACTATATAACATTACTAAATAATATGATTTTATAATTTTATTAAAAATATTGAAAGTCATAGTTAAATAGATATTTAGTTTGCTTCGAAACTTAAACTTTCATATTAATGAAAAATATAATCGGTGTATAACTTAATAACTACATTTACCATTGTGCTCTTATAACACCTGCTAATTTATTATAATCAGCAAAATGCCTAAACATTATTCTAGAAACTCTGAAGTAATTTACTGTTCCTCTTGGTCTAGATGTTAATGAACATCTATTGTTAATCTGAACTATACTACTGGACCTAGGTAAGGCTGCAATTTCTTCATCAGCTAAAGCCTAAAAATAGTGATATATTAATAGATAAAAGATTAATATTTAACAGTTTTAAATTTATAATAAAAATCACAATAATTTTATTTACAATTTACAACAAAATACAAGTATGAGATTGCAATTTTTAAAATGTACGATTTGTGTGAAATTTAATACAACAATGTTTTTATAAAATTTTTTTTTTTTTTAATACATTTTTGTTATAATATTAGTAATAATTGTGACTAGTGATGCAGTGTGTGATTATAGAATAAACTAAGTTAAAGATTAAAATAAATATTCTTTAAATAACAAGTATGAAATACAATTGACTACTAAGGAAAATTTCAAGTAAGTATTGTTAATCCAAATGAATAGTCTGTTACATATAGTTAAATTTTAGTAATATTCAAAATTTAAAGATATTATGAATTACCTTTAATTCCGGCGGTAAAATTTTATTTTTTCTTAACGCATTAATTCTTAATCTTTCTTTTCCATATTTTTTTAACCTTTGTCTTTTATTATAATCCTTAAGCATTCTGAAATCTGTGAATGAGTGCTAAAAATTTTCAATAAAAAAAAAAAAAATTAATATTAATAAATACAAAACAATTAATTTTTTTTCTATTTATTTTTAAATCTTACATTACGAATTTGATGATCTTTGGCAATTAAGGGATTAATAAAACTAAATACTTTTTTAAAAATAAGTGCCATTATATTAATCAAAATAAATATAATAAGAACAGAATAAAATTTATTTTACGTAGATACATTGTCTAGAGCCACGATCAAAATTATTCGTGAAATATAGCATCAGGAAGTTATTTAAACATTTTTTTTTATTTTTTATTTATTTAAATTAATTATTCAGTTGAATATTTCGAAATATATAATTTTTACAGTATTCCGCATAATAATTTAATAAACTCTTAATTTATATGTGACATTTTTAGTATAAATTAAATGTATGAAGTAATTAAAAATTTTAAAACTTAGTTAAATATTGTGTTATAAGCTTTATCGTGTAAAAAATTTTAAGGATATTTTTTATAATTAATGAATAAACTGAATTTTTTTTTTATCTGTTAATTATAGTATCAAATCAATTTGATAGTTTATTTTTAAATTTCTTTACAGATCATTAATATAAAATTAATAATTTTTTGTAATTTTTTTATTAAAACTTACAGCATAATCATCAATCGATGATTTAAGAATAAACTCTTGAAATCGATGGAAGTAATTAAATTTTCAAAAATTATATTTAAAATTATAATATTAGTATTTTAATTAAGAAAAATATTTCATTACATAAATTAAAAAATTCAAAATGAATCAATTTTATTTTTAAGATTTATTTTTATCTTCTAATTCGATAAGTAATTTTTCATTATAGGGTTCTAATGTATAAGGATGAATTTTTCTTCGATATCCAATTTTCTTTTTGATACCATTTTCAACTTTGACATCTTCCAGTTTTTCCTTACACTCTTTTATATCTGAATTAGTTACTGTCTCGGGAAATTTGTACTTTTCCTCCATCTCTTTTATCCAAAGTAGCTTTTCTATTTTTTTACTCAAAAAGGATATTTTTTGTTCATCCAATGACTCTTTTAATTCTGCCAATTTTTTTTCTTTTTCATTTTCAATTTGAAGTTGTGTCAAAAGTTTTAATGAAGTTTTCCTCGATACTCTTTGTACTTCCCTATAAAATTCTCAAAGAATTTAAGTATACAAAGTAAATTTTATTTAATAATGTAAAACAAAATTTTGAATGATTTAAATTTTTTTTATTATGCAAAAAATACTCACTCTAATTTGGGTTTGAAAACAATATCTAGCTGTTCCAAAACCCATTCAAATTTTTTATAATCTGATCCCCTTAATTTCTTTAAGGTTGCATATCTCTCTTTTAAAATATTCGTTAATGAAGCTTTAACCTTTCCTCTATTAGGTTTTTCATTTAGTAAAAATTGGTAAAATCTAATTCTAGCTGTAAGCTTGGCAACTAAAAAATTTGTAATTTTTAAATGTAGTGTTTATTAAATTATTTTTAAAAAGATAGTAATTTTATTTGAATTTATTATTTTTAACTTACTCCTAACTTCGATGGAATCTTTATCGTAAAAATTTTGTTTTACTTTATCAATCATCTGCTTTTCATAATTATAAAATTTATAAATTTTTGGGCAATATTCCAATGAAAATATGTTTTTAACTTCTGGTGTTGCACTAAAACACAAAATTAATATTTTGTCATAAAACAAAGCTTAAAAACTTTTGACAAAATTACTAGAAAACCTTTTTTTACTTTTTGTTACATATGAGAGATAGGATTTAACATAATTTAGATAATTTTAAAAGGATGTAAAAATAAAAAAACGTCACCTTTTAAATTCCTCTGATTTCTCAACGTTCAACCTAAAACAACTGCTTTCTGGTAATTCAAATGATTTTAAATCTCCAGTTTTATCAGGATGGTAAAAAGGTTTTTTTTCAGGTTTCACCCATGGTACATCTACATTAAATTTATAACCTCTTTTCAATATTAAATTTTTAGCGTCGGACAAAATTAAAGTTTCTTTATAAAGTTTTCTTAGATTATTCATTATTAAAAACTATTTTAATTACGCTAACATAACGTATATTTTAATTAGTTTTCAGTAAAAAAATTAACTAACTCTACTAGACGGTACTTTATTTAATTTTCGTGTCAGAAGAAAGTAAATATTAAAAAATAAGAAATGGCCAGTGTTTTGAAAAAAAAATTTATTTTTTATGATTTTTAAGTTAAATTAGAAATGTTATTTTTTAATAGAGGACTAATTTTTGTGTGCGCTGGACGTACGGTGGCATTAAAATTTTTATTGTCTAAAAGCAGTGTGCATGTAAATAAAATTAGGTTAATTAGTAGTACTCAAATTCGGTACAAAAAAAAAACTAAGTCCCATTTATTTACTCCCATATCTCCTAACTTGGACAAATATGAATTACCTACTGGAGAAGAACTCTCGGGAAAACTTGATAAAGCAAAATTGGTGAAAGTTATAAATGCATTTTATAGAAATCCTGAATTAAAATCACTTGCCGAAGAAAATAATTTGGATAGTGTGTTTTATTTTTTAATTAATGTTGTTTCTTTGTATTTTTTAAATTTATTAATTAAAAAAATTTTTTTAATAGGTTACCTCATTCAAAAAGGATTTATTAGCTTTAGAAAATTTTGTTTAGACTCTCAGAATTTACCTCCTGATCTTCATGTTTTATTATCAGACATTATTCAATCAGGAGGAAACGAATTGGATATTTTTCCTTATTTTCTCCAACATGTAAAGTCTATTTTTCCTCACTTGGATTGTATGGAAGATCTAAAAAAAATTGGAGATTTAACATCTCCTTCTAATTGGTAGTTTATTATAAAATTTTATTTTTATTACTTTATTGTTAGTCAATTGACAACTGTAATTTGTTTTAAACTATTGTATAAAATTTTAAATAATATCAAGTTATTTTAATTATATTATATTCTAAACATTGAAAAAATATAATTTTATTATTATTTAGGTATCCTGAAGCAAGAAGTATGAATAGAAAAATCATATTTCATTGTGGACCTACCAATTCGGGAAAAACTTACAATGCTATGGAAAGCTATTATCAAGCAAAATCTGGAGTTTATTGTGGCCCATTAAAGTTACTAGCAGTAGAAATTTTTAATAAAGCTAATGACAAAGGAATTCAGTGTGATCTTGTTACTGGAGAAGAAGTGATTTATTCAAGTGCAGAGGGAGATCAAGCAGATCATATAAGTTGTACTGTTGAAATGTGTTCCTTAGAAAATACTTGTAAGAATTAAATTTATTTTTAATAACTTTTCATAAGAAGATTGTATTTATTAGTGTTAATTTTAAAATTTTTACAGATGATGTTGCAGTCATAGATGAAATTCAAATGATCAAAGATAATCAAAGAGGTTGGGCTTGGACAAGAGCTTTACTCGGTTTGAAAGCTAAGGAAATACATTTATGCGGCGAGGAATCTGCTGTCGATCTTGTAGATTCAATTCTATGTACCACTAATGAAAACTTGGAGGTACCTATTTTATTTAAAAAAAAAAAAAAACCTTTTTTAAAAATTAGTAAAAGAATACTTAATTATTCATTTATTGTAGGTTAAAAAGTACAAAAGACTAACAGAGTTAAAATTGGATGCTGCTATTGAATCATTGAAAAATGTTTCACCTGGAGACTGCATTGTTTGCTTTAGCAAAAGAGATATTTTTAATGTTACAGAGGCTTTAGAAAAACTTGGGAATAATGTTGCAGTTATTTATGGAACTTTACCACCTGGAACTAAATATGCCGAATGCAACAAGTTTAATGATCCCAATAATGTTTTTAATATATTAGTATCGACTGATGCCATCGGAATGGGCTTAAATTTGTAGGTTGTTCTAAGTGTATAATTTAAATTATGTGTAAAAAAATTGTTTAACATGATTCAAATCATATTAAAAATTAAGAATGAATTTTAACAGTAAATTAATAAACAGCAAGTTTATGTTATCATTTTTGTTTTTTTCAGAGAAATCAGGAGAGTTGTATTTTACTCGTTAGAAAAGCCAGTAATGAATGACAATGGAATTATAGAAATAGTTCCTATATCAGTTTCACAAGCTTTACAAATAGCTGGTCGAGCAGGTCGGTATGGTTCCAGGTACGAAAAGGTAAAGTGAACAAAATTTTTTTTTGTTTTTCTTTATGTAAATGTGACAAAGTAATTAAATTTTTTTTTTTTACTTATGATTTTGTAGGGTTACGTAACTACGTTTCATAAGAAAGATTTACCATTACTGGAGAAAATTTTATCGGAAACTCCCGAACCTGCAATGAGTGCTGGACTCTTTCCAACGGTCGATCAAATTGAATTATATTCTTTTTACCTTCCACAATCAACATTATCAAATTTAATGGTTCGTTGAGATTTTATAAATTATTTATTTCCGAATACTTTATATTTGAAAATTTTTTTTTTATTTTAGGATATATTTATAAATTTATCAACCGTAGATGATTCCATGTATTTTATATGTAACACGAACGATTTTAAAATATTTGCCGACATGATAGAACATATTCCTCTTTCTCTACGTGTCAAATACATTTTTTGCTCTGCTCCCGTTAATAAGAAAAATCAATTTTCATGTTCGATATTTTTAAAGGTGGGCTACGAATAACATAAAATTTTATAAAAGGATCGAGTGTTATTAATTATAATTAAAATAATTTCAGTTTGCTAAAATGTACAGCGAAAACAGCATTATTTCTTTTCAATGGTTGTGTAAAACAATAAATTGGCCTGTCAGCTCACCTAAAAATATAAAAGAATTAATCGAATTGGAAGGAGTCCATGATAGTTTAGATTTGTATTTATGGCTGAGGTACCTATTTTTTATTTTTTAACTAATAAATGAATTAGGGAGATTTATTACTAAATTTTCTTTCAGTTATCGTTTTCCTGATTATTTTCCCGATGGGGATTCTGTTAAAAAAATTCAAAAAGAATTAGATCTCATTATACAAAAAAGTATAATTGAAAAAGCAAAATTATTTGTCAATTGGCATCAGAGTTTACCAGAAGAAAATCATGATGTAAAACAATGTAAGTAAAAAGTTAATTAATTTAAATTTTAATTAAAAATTTAATTAAATAATTTAATAATTTGATTATTTTCAAGTTAAAAACAAGAATTTATACGGGAAATTAAATTTAAATAATTTTCGAACGATAAAAGAACTTCATAACTAAATCAATTAAAAAAAAAAAAAAGAAAAACTAAAGGAAGGTGTAATTATTTTTTAAAAAAATAAATTTTATAATAATATATATATTTATTTAAATATAATATTGTTTATATCTTTTTCAATTTATTATAAATTAATTTTTTTAAATTGTAATCATTTTTTTTATTTAAAAAAAAAAAAAAAAACTTTACTTGATTGATTAATTATGACCGCCATTTCTTATTTATTATTAATTTAATAAAAAAAAGAATTCAAACTGAAAAGTTTTTATAATTATATATTTGAATAATAATAATAATTTTAATTTCGTTAAAAAAAAAATTTTTAAAACTTGTTGTTTGACATAGTGTTAAATAAATTTAATTTAAATATTTAATAACGTTTTTGTTTTTTTGAAAAAAAAAAAAAAAAATATCGTATTAATATGTATAATTGTTTCGAGTAATAATACAATCTTTACTTCATTTTTATAATTTATAAATACATTTAAACGTTTTTTTTTTTTAAAAAAAATTTTATTACTCTGAATTTAAAATATTCTAATGTACCAACCGTTACTTTCCACATAATCAGTTGGGGAAAAAAAAAAAAAAAAAAAAAAAAAAAAAGAATAATAAAAACATAAATTTTATTTAGTTTAAAAACAATGGTTTTATATCTCTATGACTTTCGGTTGTAATTCTAAATCTTTATAAAATTAATTTTTTTTTTTTTTCTTTTTTTTTTTTTTATTTTGAAATCTACAATTTATTACAAAAATTATGTCGTACGTAATTATTTTATACTTTTTATTTAATTTTAAATAATTAAATAATTTTATATATTTATACTTAATTTTTTTTTTTTTTTTTTATTTATTAAGGTTTTGATCGTTTTCGATATCGGGGTTCAGAAATATAACAAATCCGTTAAATACATTAAAAATTTAGCTTTATCCATTTATATTAAAAATTTTTTAAACTTTTATGTTCGAAAGGGAAAATTCTTTTTCTAATTTCATATTTTTCCCCCCCCCCCCCCCCCGGGGAGAAAATTATATAACTGTGATAGCAGTATTGGTTTATAGAAAATCTTCAAGTTTCCACGACTTTAAAAAAATTTTCAGGTATAATAATATAAATTTAATTGTAATAAATGTTTCAGTAAAAAACATTGTTAAGGTTTAATACTAATTAAAAATTAATTTTTTTTTTTTTTCAAAATAGGGAAAAAATTATAAAGAAAAGATGTCTAATAAAAATTTAGGATGTCCTGAACAAGAAGTTGATCCTTGTGCCAGTTCTTCGAGTAGTATGTTATTTTAATATAATAAATATATTCTTATATTTAATTTTCAATAAAAATAAAACCTTAATTACATTTAATTAATTTTTATTTTTTCAGCAAATGCAGGAAGAAGGAGGAGGAGATGGGGAAACGCACCGCAACCCGCGGCAGCAGCCGATCCTATGTTTCCAAGAACATATGGAGTAGGTATGTTTAAATTTTTATTTTTAACTATATTAAAACTATGTTTAAACGAACGAATTTGTCTTTCCTCTCTTTAATAGTAAATACCTAAAAAATTCAACCTAAATTAACCTGAATTATCAAAAGAATAAAGAGTTGTATCTATGATTAATAGCAAATTGAACATACTTATAAATTTTTTCTCAAATCTAAAAATATAATGACACACACAAAGCCAGGGTAATGAGTTTGTTAATAAATTATTTATTTTTACAGATAACTATACGGTGAGAAGCACCGGTCCTTCACCTGTAAGCCAAACCCATGCCTACAGACTTGGCCCTCTACCACCCGACCTTTTACATGCTCCTCTTGATCTCGATACTGAACCCCAAAGGCCGGATCCTGCATATGAAAGATATATAAAAGATCCAAATCTTTATAATATTCGTTGTAATTATGAATTCCCGTGGCAGACTCCTCAACCTCAAGCTCAGGCAGAACAAGCACCACAAGCAGCCAGAAGGGCTGCACAGCCTGTGAGTCAACCTGCAGCGTAAGTAATATTCTGTAAAATACTTTTTTTTTTTTTAAAATTATTATTAAATTTGAAATAATATCACGAAATGTTAATTATATATATATATATATTTTTTCTAAGTAGAGCAGGGCCTAGTACTGCGGGAAGATCCGCCGATCCTTCAGGTGGAATCTGCTTTGAAAAACTTGATCCCAATGCTCCCGTACCTAAACATATTAGACGGATATTCAGAATCTGCAAATTACCACCAGACCTTCGGGAACCTCCTCCAACCGACCCAACCTTCAAACCTGATGCCGAATATGAAAGACTTATGAGAGATCCGCGTCGTTTTGATTACAATTGTGATTTTGATTTCCCGTGGAAAGAAACGACCTTTACAGGATTTCGTAGTGCTCAACAAAAAAAGGCTCCACCTCAACCAATGAGACCGTTAGTCTTTATGTTTCTCTTTCAAGTTTTTTTTTCTCTTGTACTACGTGAAAAACAAGTTTTTTTTTTTTTTTAAATTTTCTGAGCAGGCCTCCTTCGCCTGGAATCACCGGTCTCCCACCCCAATTCAGCTTTAAGAAAGGCACCGTAGGTAATCCTCCTCCTGGAAATATTAAACGTGCGTACAGAATTCATAATATGCCACCAGAACTTCGCCACCCTCCTCCCACCGATCCAAACTTTAAACCTGATGCTGAATATGAAAGACTTATGAGAGATCCTCGTCGTTTTGATTTCAATTGTAATAGCGATTTCTCCTGGATGGAACCCACTTCTATAGCTTTTGGTAATATTCCACAAGATATTCGTGATACCTTACACGTACCATTGCAACCTACGGGGTTAGTATTTATAATTGTTTTTTTTTTTTTTTTTTTTTAAATAAGTTTTCATTTTAAATAATAATAATAACTTTTTTTTTTTTTTCATTCCCGAACAGTAATCCAAAAGTTCAGCGTGTATTTAGAATTTGCAATCTTCCACGTGAACTTCTACGTCCTCCTCGTTATTCTGCTAATCCACCTGATCCTGAATATGATAGAATACTAAAAGATCCAAATCTTTATAATTACAACTATGTTAGAGATTATCCATGGTTGGATTCTTCAAATGCCGATGGATGCGATGCAAAACAAGATGGTGGAAAATCTCCGCCGTTAGTATTTTTCTCTTGAAACGTCTTTATTTCAACACAAAAACAAACAAAAACAAACAAAACAAACAAAAACGATATTAATAAGTTTAAAAAAAAAAAAAAAAATTACAAAATAATTTTTATATAAAATTTATTTAGTTGCAATGATGATAAAAAGGAAACTAACGAAAACAGAGCTTTGAAACATTTAAGTGGCATTAAGGCCGATGTAGCGGGTAATAATTAAATTTTAAATAATTTAAAAAAAATAAATAAATAAATAATCTTTCAGCGGGAATTAATTTTTTTTTTTTTTTGTTTATTATTAAGTACAGGTTCAGGTTGCATATTGTCTTTTAAGACTCAACTTTTAATTTAATAATTTTTGACGATAATTTAAAATTCTTTTTTTTTTTTTCTCTTCTACTTTTTCAGGTACTTCAAAAATTGATTTAAGTAGAAAAGATTCAAATCTTGTACTCTCCTGTACTCAGGGTATATGAAAATTTTTTTTTTTTTTTTTTTTTTACCCTTTTATATTTAAAAATATGAAAAAATTATTAAATTTGTTAGATGATTTCAAATGAAAATTTTTTTTTTGTCAGATGAAAATCAAAAAAAAAAAGTTGGAATACCTAAAAAACCAAATTTATCACCGGATGAAATAAAATCACTTATACAATCTGAAGCACAGGATGTCGAATTGACCAAATGTGTTACATTTGATGAGAAAAAAACATACAAAAAACCTTGTCCGAAACAACAAAAAGCTCAGGATCGTGTTAAATATTTACTTTCCGAACACGAAAATCTACCTGGACCTAGTTTTTCCACAAAGGATTACGGCCCGGTAAGTATAACATTTCTTTTTTTTTTTTTTTCTTTTCAATTCTTTTCAATTTCTTTTTAATAAATGATTCATTTCATTTTAGATGATTGATCCCGATCCTGATGATATTTCACCGGAAGTGGCAGCAGCAATGATATTTTCACACGAAAAAGGAATAGAATTAGAATCATGTCCGAATGAAACAATTAAACATCTTTTCCCTGAAGAAAGACATCCTTGCAGTAAATTACCGGAGGTTACAAAAAAAAAATTTTTCTTCTTTTTACTTACAATTTTTTTTTTTTCTATTTTTAAAATTTATTATTATTATTATTATTACTATTTTCCAGAGTAAGATTTCAGTTGTAGAAAATAAAAAAGAAAAAGATGAATTGATACAAAAAAGTGCCGGAGTACCATCTGAAGGAGTTAGCGATTCAGCTTATACGAATACGATAAAACAAAAAGGTAAAATTCAATTTTCCAAAAAAAAAAAAAGACATTATTATTATTATTATTAATTTAAAATATATATATAAATGTAAAATATTTGTAGGAGATGAAAATTTGAGTCGAGCTTCATGCGAATTAAATTTAAATTTTACCAAAAAGAAAACGGAATATGTTTTGCTATCTAAAAAACCTCAGAGAATAAACAAGATACAATATAGAGGAAACGTACCCACTTGGTTTCCGGGTAAGTTCTACAACATTTTTTTATTTACGGGGAGGGGAGGGGAAAAGACACATTCAATTCAAATAACCATGAAGATGATGATGATAATTTTTCATAATTTTCCTTTTTATTCAGGGTATTTTTCAGCTTTCCCTGACGAATTAGGTATTAAAGTTGTTTCGTCTCCTTCCGGTTTATTTAATAAAGCGTGGATGTTAACAAATCCAGATAATGTACCATCATCTGGTATCACAGTTATCGAGTAATCGTTTTATTTAAAATTTTTTATTTCTTAATAATCATGTAAATTTTTATAAAAAATTAATCGTAAATAAATCAGAAAATGTGAAACGGATTAATTATTATTATTATTATTATTTGCATATTATTACTGTTATCAATTCACAAACATAATGGAATGAATTTTATATATATTTATTGCATAATCTTTAATGGCAAAAAAAGATGATAAAAAAAAAAAGAAAATTTTACACGGGAAAAGTTATCATCATCATCATCATCTACTCGACCAAAGTCCTAAATTAATTCCCCAACTTTGATTAACGTTTTCCGTCGTACCTTTTGCATAATTCAATAAAGTATTTTCTTCATCGGGACTTAATTTTAATATCGTCGTTAAAACCGGAACTAATCGAACCTTTTCGTCGACGTTGTGCAAACTCACAAATTTAATTATGACGTTTTTTAAATATTCAGAATTTTGCGCGTGTTTTTCCCTTTCCAAACTTCTTTGCAATCTTTTTATTTCTTCTTTTAAAACTTCGTTCAATTGTGCCAAACGTGCCGAATCGCTTTCCGCATCCGCCAAAAGAACCGTTAAATGTTTTATCCTGTTTTCATTTTTTTCCAATCTTCCACTTAACTCAAGTACATCCTGTCGTGATTTTTTATCATCCCCCAAATCGGATTGATTAAGTAATTGTTCCAAAGGTATTAAGTTATTCGATGCCTGAGGAGAAACCGAATCCACACTTTCCGAACCCTAAATAATCAAATGAAATAATAAAAAATTAATTTCATTTTAAAGAAAACAATTAAAACGAAAACAAAAAATGTCACTTTCCTCGCATTCTTCCCTTTCGAGGAGCATCACGTCCAAAGGTTCTTTTTCAACTTTTAAGGGAACAAATCCTCCCAGAACCTTTCTTTTGTCTACATTTTTTTCTTTTTGTTTAAAATCGGGTTTTGCTATGAGCGTGTTATGCTTTTTAACTTGCTCCAGCTCATTGATAATCCTCTTCATTTCTTCATCGTGTTTCTTTTTAAGCTCTTCTATGTCATTCTATTATTTGAAAAAAATTTTTTCTTTAACAATTTCATACCTTATTAATGAACAGAATTGAATTAGAATAATACCTGAAAACACTGTGCGAGAGTATCGCTTTTGACTTTTTGTATTCTGATATTTTCTAAAAATTCATCCTTATCCTTTTGTTTCAATTCTTTCAATTTATGATTTTCATTTCTCAACTCGGTTAAATTTAAATTTAATTCTTGAACTCTTTCGAATAATTTTTTTTTCTCTTCTAATAAATTTCCATTTTCTTCCGTGTAAATTTTTAATTTTTTACAAGATTCTTCTAATCTGTAACGGAAACAGGTATTTGTATTTTTTTTTTTTTTTTTTTTTTTGGTTTACTCATGCAATTCTATAATTAATTTACTTTATTTTCAATGAATCCGATGTGCTTTTTAATTGTTCCAATTCTTCCAAAGCGTTTTGTTGTTTACTTGGATTTATTTCTTTTTGCGATTGTCTTAAAACGCTTTGAGCTCGTACCTTATATGCCTGATACTCATTTTTCAATTCGCTTATTTCAATTTCTTTTTGATTTAAAACGTCTTGAAGTGCAGATAATTTTTCTTCAAAAGCATGAATCTGAAAAAAAATAACAATCGTTTTTAAGGAAATGCATTCATTTAAATTAATTTAACGATAATAAGTAATAAAATAATTATTTATTACTTGTCTGCAAAGTTTATCTTCATTATTTTTAAATTTTTCTTCATTTCTATACTTTTCCGTTGTTATCTCTTTTATTTCCACGGACAAATTTTCAATTTCCCTATTTTTATTTTCGATATTTTTTTCAAAATTTTTTATCATTTCCATTTTTTTTTCATTGTCTCCTTTTATTGTCATTAATTCGTCGTTTAATTGTTTTATTTGAGTTTGAAAATTATTTATTTTCAATTCTTCCTCGTTCACGTTTGATTTCAAACGATTTATTTCTTTTTCTTGACATTCTCTTTGTGTTTTTTCACTCTCTAATTGATTTTGTAAATCTTTCAATAATTTGTCTTTTACATCCAACTTGTTTTTGAGATCTTCTGCTGTTTTCTACAAAAAATAAAGTCATTGTATGACATGTTGAAAATTAAAAAAAAAAAAAAAAAATCAACCATAACTTACTTCATAGGCTGCCATTTCCAATTCTAAAACATTATGTTTTTTCGAATCTATTTTCTGTTCTTCTAATAATAACATGGCCGTATTGTGTTTCTCTCTTTCTTCTTCAATGTGCCTATCTTTGACCGTTAACTGACCCTTAATTTCATCCAATTCCATTTGCAATTGACTCATTTCTTTCTTTTGCCTTTCTATTGTAGTCTTCAATTCGGATATATGAACGGTTAATTCTTTTTTAATCTTTTCAAAACTAAAAATGATGTTGATTTACGTTGAAAATTGTACATTTGCAAAAATGCAAAGTAAAAGAGGGTAAAAAATCATTTACATACCTGATTTTATCGGCTTTCATTTTATCCCTTTCTAATTTCGATTCTTCCAATTGTTGTTTGAATAAAATAATTTCTCTATCCGCGGATTCAATTTTTTTTTTCAACGTCGTCTTTTCCCTTTTTTCCTCATCCAAAACATCTTGCAATTTATCATAATCCGCTTGGATTTTACGAAAACCTTTTATCTGATTTTGAAAACCCGTTATTTTATTCTGATAGTCTGCTTCCGTCGTTTTTAAATTTATTTTTTCTGCTTCCACTTGTTGTTGTAAATCTTTCAATTTTTTTTTTAATTTCACGGCAATCACTTTCAACTGCGAATATATATATATATTTTAAGCATTTTCAAAAATAATAATTTTATTCCTTAACCGTAAATTATAAATTTGAAAAATATTTTACCTTTGAATATCTTTCTTCGAAACTATCTTCCAATTCAGCAAATCTCGCAGTTTCTTCTGCTTTACTTATCGTGCTTGAACTCAACGTTTCAACCGTACCGTCATTATTTTTCATTCTCCACATTTCTTCTTCCATTTCTCTCATGGCTTTGTGTTTACTTTCGACCTCTAACTTTGTTTTATTTATTTCTTCCTCCATTTCGTCAATTTTTTTCACTTTTTCCGTCAATTTTATATTCTGCGACGAAATTTTCATCCGTGCTTCTTCTAATTCTTTCCTCAAATTCTCTGTTAATTGTTCCAATTTAGAAATTGCTTCTCCTCTTTCTTTCAAAACCTTTAAAGAATTATTTTTCTATTAATTGAGACACATTTATCACAAACGTGATTATAACTAATAATAATAATAATAATAATAATACCTGATTCATGTCATTCATTTCGCTGAGAAGTTCAGAATTTCCACTGTGTAATTGTCCAACGTATTTTACAACAACATTTTCTATATTTTGCCTCGTTTCCGTTTGCTCCGCTCTAAATTTTTCCAATTTGCTTTTAATTTCTTTATTAAATTCATTTCTTAAATGTTTTACACACGTGAAAGAAGATAAAAGATCTTCTAATTTTTTTCGAACTAAATTCACCGTTTCGTTATAATTATTTTTTATTTGTTTAATTTCATTTTTAAGGTATTCATTTTCCTCCTTTAAACGATTTTCTTTTAATTCCTCATCTATTTTTTTACTACTAATTTCTAAATCACTACCTTTAGATTCAACTTCAAAATTTTTTCCATCATTCATACATTTGGATTTTTCAATTTCTAACTGTTCATGTTTTATTTCTTTGTTTTCAACCTGTAAATGTTTAATCTCCATTTTTAAATTTTCAATTTCTTTTATGAATTCTTTTTCTTTTTTTTTTTTTTCATCGCTTAAAATAACCTGTTCTTCCAATTGTTTACTAATAATTTCTTTTTCAGAATTTATTAAACTATATTTTTCATGTAGATTTTCTAATTCTTTTTTCATTGCATTAAACTTTATTTCTATAATTTCATTTAAAATTTCTATTAATTTAAAAAAATCTAAATCATTGTTTAAGTCTTTTGTAATATTTGATTTATCCAAAATACTGTTATTTTCGTTTGTTGCTTTAATGTCATCATGTGATGCATTCTGTATTTTATCAATTAATTTAATTAATTCACTTTTAAATAAATTTTCTTCTTTTATTTCTTTATTCATGCTATCCGAATGAAAAGTTCTCTCATTATTTGATTTTTCTACTGTCTCTGACCTCGAATTTTCTTCATTCGGGAAATTTTCTAAATCACCTCTTTCATTTTCTAAAAATTTTAAATCACTACTTTCTAATTCTTCTATTTTTTTTTTAAATAACGTTTCCATTTTGTTTTTTTCTTCTGCAAAATTTTTTCTTTCACCTTCCAAATTTTCCTCCAACAATTTAATATCGTTATCAAATTTTATTTTGTTTTGTTCTATTTTATTTATTAATTCATTATTTTCTTTTTCTAAAATTTTTACCTTTTCCAAAATGTGTTGATGAGTTTCTGAATTTGATAAAATACTGTTATCTGGTTTTTCATTATTTTCCAATTCATTTTCCTTAAAATACTCTTGAGGCTTAGAACTTACTAAATTTGTAGGATCAATTGATGATTTTTCATCAGTTTTTAAGTTTGATGCATTTAATAAACATTTTAACTTATTGTTTTCATTTATTATATCATTCCAATTATCAGGCAAATATTTAGAACTAATTCTTAATACATTTAATTTTTCCGATAATTCATTTATTTCATTTTTTTTTTCATTTAGCAATTCGACAAGTTGCATTTTTTCTAAATTTATATTTTCAAATTGTTTGTCAACACATTCATTTTCTTGTTTTTCAAAAGATTTTAATTTTTCATCACATGATTTTTTTTCACTTTCAATTTTGGCAAAATTTTCCTTCAACTCCTCGAAATTTTTTAAAGTTACCGAATATTTTTCTTGTAAATTTAGAAATTTATCACTTTCAGTTTGTAGTTTTTTCTCAAGATCCTCACATTTTGATATTTTAGATTTCAAATTATCTTCTAATAAAACTAAAGAATTTTGCAATTCATTATTTTTTTCATTAGTTTGCCTTATTTTATTTTCAACTTCGGCAAATTGCTTTTGTTTCTCCGTAAAGGATTCTACTATTTCTTTTAATGTTTTTATTTCTAATAACAATTTCGATTCATTTTCTTTTGATAATTTAAGCTCTTCTGCAGTATCTGAAATAATTTTGAATATGGCAAATATTAAAAATAAAATAAAATTTTAAATTTATTAGTAAAACATTCTGATCGTTTCCCTGCTAAAAAAGATGCCACTGTCTGAACTGAACAGAAATCAATGTTTCAGCCATTATTTAAATATAGTGAGAAAAAAAAACAGAAATTCTGAATTGTTACTTTTAACTAAAAAATCACACAACATGTTTTTGTATATAATCAATATAACTAGAAAACTAATCTTTAATGGATTATTGCATCGATATAAGGTAAAAAAAAAACTGTTCTTAATTCGAATACTTAAAACTTATATGACACAAATCAGTTACAATAATTTGACTGACTTTGATTTTACATTTTTTCAAATAAGATAAATTTTAAACAATTTTATTAAACAAAAAATTCAAAAACCCAAGAAAATATAGCTGTTATTACTACAATATAAGCTCATTGTTTTTCCATTACTTTGACTTATATTAAATAAAACTACATTATAGTAATTATATGATATGATGGATTTTCGATTTACCTTGTTTTGCCTGTTTTGCTTTTTTAGCTAGTGATAACAAGTTATTGTATTTTTTGATAATCTCTTCCTTTGGTAAATCATCTAACGAAATTTTTTTATCTGACGTGTCCGATTCCATATTTACAAAAAAAAATTTACAACAAACTATTTACTTAAAAAAAAAAGAAAGAAAGGAAATTCAATAAAATATAAAGGTACGGAATTGAAAATTAAAAAAACATTATAATACATTATTAACATTATTATTTATTAGTTTTTTATGTACATCACCACTATTATTTACATTATTTCTGGAGCCACGTCATTTATTGCAACGAATCAAAAGCATTCACGTTTCTTATATTTCGACGTTTATACTAATGTATGACTTTATCAATTTTCGAAATTAATTTTTGTTTTTTTTTGATTTTGACTATTGCTGTTATTGATAAGCGGTAAAATGGTGAAAATAGCGTTACAATGAAAGAAAACTGTTTTTAGATTGGTGTGACAAATCAATTCTAATATATTTTGTGCAACTGTATATATATAATTTGATTCAACCGCTTTTGTTATTATTCAATCTTTAAAGCTTTACAGAAATGAATATATTGGGCTTAGTTTACTTATTTCTAACTTATTGTGGAATACGTGGTGTTTTAGGTAATTTAAAAACACGTTCTTTTTATGTCTTTACATTTTACTATCATCGAACGGCTATTGCAATTTTCTTACAAATACTATAAACTGAGTGTATGTATTATAAAAATGTTTTTATTTTATTTAGGTAGATTTAATGAATATGTAACTTATGGATCAGTCATAAAGCTTATGAATGCAAATTATGAAGTTAGACTTCATTCACATGACGTTAAATATGGTACTGGATCTGGTCAGCAAAGTGTAACTGGAGTAGAATTATCTGAAGACATTAATTCTCATTGGGTTATCAAAGGAGAATCAGGGAAATTATGTGTTAGAGGGTAAAAAAAACCAAATTACTTTTTGCAAATTATTCTTATTATTTTAAAAATTGAAAGTAATTAATATCTTTTTTTTTTTAAATTTAAATTAAACTTTAGAGAAGCAGTTAAATGTGGAGATATAATTAGACTTGAACACTTGGAAACAAAAAAAAATTTACATTCTCATCATTTTTCATCTCCAATATCGGGGAATCAAGAAGTTTCAGCTTATGGTAACAAAGGAGAAGGTGATACTGGAGATAATTGGATTGTTCTCTGCCATCGAAAATATTGGGAGAGGAATGATCATATTAAATTAAAACATGTTGACACTGATGTGTAAGTTTAGTTTAGTTTCTTTCTTTTTTTTTTTTTGAATCCAGAGAATAAAAATTAAAAGTATTCTGTGTTTTTAGATTTTTAGCTGCAAGTGGGAGAACTTATGGTAGACCTATTCATGGACAACACGAAATTATCGGTACATCATACGATTCATCAAATACAGAATGGAAAGCAATGGAAGGTTTATTCGTTCATAAAACGGACTTTAATCCTAAAGGATCTGATCATTTGCATGATGCATCAGAACTATAATTAATACAAATTACATATATAAATATTAAACTAAAAATTAGTTTTTAAAATAAATATAAATAATTATAAAATTATTTAAAATGTATTTATGTCGATAAATAAATTAATGTACTGAACTAAGTCAAAATGTGGTAAAAATCCAAAGTATTTTATCAATTAATTTTTTGTATCGTATTAAAAAATAATTAAATTTGTTCCGCGCCATTAAAAATATTTTTGACACTGTTTCGATTACTTTGACTTTTGTTAATGTTCATTTTTCTTTTTTGGGTGTCAGATTCGCACTGATCTGAAAGTTTTTTTTTTATTTCCTACGTGTAAACTTTATTAAATAAGTAAAGATGCTCATCAAATATGCTGTAAATTAATTATTGGATGTATTCAATAAGATTCCCGCCAATTCTTGAAATAAGGTCTTTTTCTAATTTATACTTAGCAAAATATTTTTACCAAAAAAAAATTAATTAATTTCAATATAATTCGTACTAATCAAAAGCATATCGCTTTAAACCCCAAAAAAGGAATATAATAAATATAACAAAATTAAATTAAAACAAATTTATTTATAAAATTAAAACGATGTGACATTTTTTCTTGTTATTCTAAATTACACCATTAAATTTTCATAGATAAAAAAAAGTGTTGGAAAAAAAAAATTAATTTATATTTAGTTAGAATGAAAAAAAAAAAAAAAGAAATTAATATATTTATAAATCAGGAGATATTAAATTAGAAAACATTTTAAAAATTTTTGTACGAAGCTGTAATAGTAATAAAATTATAAATTATAATCATTTGTGTAATTTTTTATAAAGAAAAAAAAAATAGAGGTACAAATTTGTATTGATAAGTTTATTTTTTAACCCAAATTTATAAAATTAATTTTATGACATAAATTTTTTTTATCTTTGCTTTAAAAAAAAAGATGAATATCAAATGTAAGTATAAACAAAAGTTTATTATTTAATTTTTGTTTTCTTTTTAATTTTAAAATGTTTGTTGCTTTTGTCTTTATTTTCAGAAGTCGATAAAAATCTTTAATGTTTTACATTAATAACTACCAATGAGACAATAAACAGTGTCGAATAGCAAAGAAAACCGAGAAATGGAAAACCAACAGGTAAGGATATTTTTTATTTTAAATTAATGGAATTAATCTCATGTACAGCTACACAGCTGTACATTTTTAAATTTATATTTATTTACTAACAGTGCATGAATTCAAAAAAAAAAAAATAAATAAATAGATGGAATAAAAAAACAAAATTCAAAAAAAGAAATTTTTAAAAATGTCTTTTTTTTTTTTTTTTTTTTATTTAACTATTATTTTATTTTAAATAATTACATTTACAATTAAAATAAAAATTATAATTTTATAATTTACTACTTATATTAAATATTTCAGCCATACACATATAAATAATAATTTTTATTTATTTATTTATTTTTAAACGAAAAATAAATAAGCAAAATTATTTCCCTAATAAAAATGAAATATTTCGATATTAAAAATTCAGTTTAACAGAAATAATAAAACTAACAACATTAAAATATATAATACAATAAACGTTAAAATTAATAACAAATACTGACTGCATTAAATTTTTTTTTATGTATTAATTCAAAATAATTTATTAAAAATAATTTTTAATAATATGGTGGCAATAAATATTGTTTTAATAAATAACACAGAATGCTAAAAGTCACAATTTTTTTTCTCTCACAAGTTTATGATAGAAAATCATAAAAATATAATTTATTGTTTAATAAATATTTATAACAAATAAATAATAAAAATTAAAAAAAAAAAAAAATTATTTGAACTATAATAACTTAATATTAATAAATAAATCTTCTAATAGTTTCTGATGAAACTGTTATTACTCCCCAACTTATAAAACCCCTAGTATAGTTTAAATGTACTCCTCTGTAAAAAGACGATACTTTTCTTCCTCTTTCATTGTATATTTGTATCACAGCTGAATAGATGTTTTGAAATTCCCCACCTAGTTTACTTTGCAAATGTACTTTTACCACATTTAAAGGATAGAAAAAACTACTTATCATACCTCCTATTAGGCCACCACATATAAATTCACCAAACATTTTACTATACCAGTTTCCATTTTTTTTGTTCAACATTTCTTTGGCTGCATCTCTCAAAAAAAAATAGAATATATTTGAAGGACCGTTTCGCAAAAAAATAGGTACAAGTCCTCTGTAAAACTCTCTGAAACCATATTCAGTGCCTATGGTTTTAAAAGCATGTTTCATATTAGTAAATTCTTTTGATATTTGGGGTTCTTGAGAAAAAGTTTGAACTCTTTCAATGGAGCTAATGTTGCTTCTGTAGTTCCTGCAATAAGAGCAGCTAATGCCTTGGCTTTCATAGGAGAAACCATTTCTTGTAATGGCATTCTTGAGCCTTCATATACACCAAACATGAGTGATAAACTAGTTGTTTTCTGACAAAGGGGTGGGAGTATTCCTCTGTACAATACATATATTCCTTCATTGGATATTTGTTTAATTGCATTTATCGGTGAAAGATTATGCAGCATCTGTAAATTGAAAATTAAATAAATTTTCTTAGCTTTAAAATCAATTAGTGTGTTAGTGTTATTTTATCTTTGATTTTATCTCTGCACATAGTTAAAAAAATTGACTGTTACAACATTTTTATATTTAAATTTTCAAATTTTTTTTACTCAAAAGATTATATATATATATCTGTCAATAATATTAAATAATTAAAGAAAATAGTTTAAAAAATTAAAACTTACCTGCCTGAATGTAACTTTGTTGATGGGATAAGTTACACAGATATTAATAAAAGCCGAACCCCAACCACAAATGAATTCTCTTAAATCCCAATTTAAAGGATTCCATAATGTACCTAAATTTTTAGAATCCAAGGATTTTTTTAATAAGTTTAAGTTTGCAAACCCCAATGTTTTACTGTAATTTTCAACTTTATTGTCTGTTTCTGAATCTGTTTTTTTTGTACCCATTTTAACATTTCTTTAAATCACCTAAAAATAAACATACATAAATAATCTTCCTTGATCAAGTTCATGCAAATATTATTCAAGTATACACAGCCTATTTTTGTTATATAAACATATCACGCACGATTATTATCATACTATTGCAATCATAAAATTTTATTTTTCAAACTTCTCTTAATAATGTAAAAAAAAAAATAAAAATTAAAAATTAAATTAATAAATTTTACAGTACGAGAAAAATGAATAAAAAGATACCAGAGATCTGCCCTTGAATTATTTTCAAACTTTTGAAAAATTAAACCATAATTATTAGCGCTTAAATAATTCTTTTGGCAACCTGACAATTGAGTTTTAAATGAATTTAGTGGAATTTTGATGGGTAAATTTATTGAAAACATTTTAAAATTTTAATACTACTTATTCAACATTGACAATTTGTTTTTTTTTTTCGTCGTGGAAGTAGACGTTTCATTTTTGCCGTGTCTCAGTTCAAAATGGCGGTGACAATTGGAAAAAACGTTTAATACAAAGTGAAGTGAGTTTTTAATTTATATATAAGTTTAAAATTTTTATTAAAAACAGTTACAGACGCAAAAAAAAGAAAAAATCATTATCATTTGTTGTAAGTACTGTTTTTTTATATTGTTTTTTGAATAATTATTCATCGTTCAGTTAATAAAAATGCATTACGTATGAACATAATGAAAACGGTAAAAAGTTTAAAAAATGATTATGGATGATGATTTATATAATTCAAACGTACATAATTGAGTACATTTATTAATTTATTCGATAATGTCATTAAAAAATGATATGAAAATTATTTATTATTTAGTAAAAATTAATTTTTATATATATATATTTTTTTTTTTCTTATAAATCTTTACAAAATTTTTATAATTATACTTTTATTTTAATTTAAAAAGAAAAAAAGAAAATCGACATCAAAATTTTTATTTTTTATTTTAATCATTATTAAAAAAAATATAAAACTAAACAATTTTTTCGTGAAAACTCAAATTTTTATTTAAAAAAAAAAAGAAAGAAAAATTCATTTTGTAGACCTGTGTTTGAACAAAAAAATTTATACTTATTTAAATACATTTGAAAAAAAGAAAGAAAGAAAAAATTGTTATACAAAAATTTTATTGTTTTGGACCCTGCTGTTTGTTTTTATGTATTTTATTACATTGTCAAATAAATGAATACAAATTACAACCATCTATACCTGTTTATATAGATGTTTTATGCAAAAAAAAAAAAAAACCAGAAAACCAATTTTTATTAAATAAGATACAAATAATCTTTGGTCAACGCTAATAAACATTTATATATAAATAAATTATTTTACAAAAGTGTTACCAACACACAAAAGAAAAAAAATAATATTTTTTTTATTTTTTTAAATCAGATTTGTTTAAATTTATAAAAAAAAAAACTCAAATTATATTTACAATAAAATTACCCGTGGCATTTCCGACTTATATTTGATATATTAAACAATAACTCATTGTTTATAATCAAATAATAATAATAATACAAAAAAAAATTAATACAAAACTCATATAATTATTTAAATAATAAAAAAAAAAGAGATAGATTGCACCAAGATAAAAAAAAAAAAAAAAAAAACAAATTAATTAAGCGGCTGATATGAAAATTATTATTATTATCATTATTATCTATCTTTTCTTATATTTAATACAAAAAAAAAAAAAGAAAATATTACTCTTCCAATATATTTGACTAGATGTTTTCAACCTTGATTTTTTCAAAGCTCATGAAATTATTATTATTTTTATTGTGGTTGTTGTTGTTGTGTTTGTTGTTGTTATTGTTATTGTTGTATAATAGTTAAAGAAACAAAAATAAATTAAATAACTTTATAGAAAATGAACATACACTCATCAAACACACACACACACACACAACACATGTACATATGTTTATGTAAATTTTACATATTTTATTTTTTTTTCTTTTATAGTTATTGTAAAACAAAACTTTAAGTTCATAAGTATTAAAGTTTTGTTATATTATTTGATTGTCTTGATAAAATATAAGTATTTAATTTCTACAAAAATAATAATAATAATAATAATAATAATAATATAAAGTTTGTATATGTAAATGTATAAAAAGAAAAAAAAAAAATTTTTTTTATTTTCTTGTACTTTTATGTTAACTTTTTTTTTTTTTTTTTTTTTTTTTAATAATGATTTAAAAAAAAAAAAAATTTTTTTTCTTTTTTACATACATCAGAATGTTGTCAATATTATTATTATTATTGTTTTTGTTTCAAAACTTTTTTTAAAGAAAAATTTAATTTATTATTTTTCATTTTCAACCGCGATTTTGTTTTGTTTTGTTTTATTTATTTATTATTATTATTATTTTTGAAATAATTTATCATAATCTCTTAAAAAAAAAAAAAAAAAATAGTAGTAAATAAATAAATAAATAAATAAACAAACAAA